GCCCGCAACCAAGGTACATGCCCTTGACCGGAATCGAACCTTGGACCTTTCAGTCTGCAGGCCGACGCTCTATCCACTGAGCCAAACCGGTTAGGGCGAGGCCTCCCAGATTTATATTGGATTTATGGTTAATAGATTTTCAACAGGGGTGCTAAGATAGTTCCATGGGAAAAGATCTTTTCAATAGATGGTGCTGGGATAACTGGATATCCACAAGCAAAAGAATAAGGGAAAGACATTAATCGAAGAACGTATATGCATAGGCCATGGACACAGACAATAACGTGGTGAAGGCCTGGGGTGGGGTGGGGCTGGGTGTAGCGGGGCAAAAGGGAGAAAACGGGGGATGTCAATAACACACACACACACACACACACACACACACACCGAGGCAAAAGGGAGAAAACGGGGGATGTCAACAACACACACACAGAGAGAGAAATAAATAAGGAAAAGAAAAGGGAAGAAGTAGACAAGCAAAAAATCTGGTTAGGAGACTTTACCAGTGGTCCAGGTTAAAGATGACTGAGTGATGATGACAGAGATGGAGAAACATGAACAGATTCAATATGTATTTTGGAAGCTAATGCAGTGTTTCTGAAAACATCTCAGACATGATGGTATACACAATTTGGATATGAAAAATTTATTAGAAAGAATATAACTAACACATCAGACTGATGATTTACTGAATATTATTCCTTGGGATAAGACAGGTCTATTAAACTAAAATAATTAAATAATAGCCTATGTGGTCAAAATCATGAAGCTAGTTCAGGATACACTGTTAATGGATGTGATGGCATGGTAAAGGGACAGGAGGGATAAACAATGTTTCCCTGTATCCCAGTTTGAATAACTGAGCATAGAGTAATGAGATAAAGAAGAGGCGAGTTGGGGTTGGAAGAGTTGAGGTTCAACTGTGGGTAGTTTGAAAAGTCAGTGAGAGGTCCACGATGTGCAGCTCGAAGGGGAGTTTGGAATGAAGATAATTGCTACGGTATTTAAAGCCGCTGTAGGTAAAATTACTTAAGAAGAGAGAAAAAGGGGCCAGGACTAAGCTCCAAAAAACTCCAAAATTTAGAGGTCATATGAAAGAAAAGTTAGAAAAGGAGCGTGAGGATAGGTTTGTAAGGTAGAAGGAAAACCAGGAAAACGTTACCTTATATAATTAGGTCTGTACTGTAAGCAAATGTTTTGTCCATAGGAACTAATGACTTTTTCTACTTTATTGCACCCATGAGAGTGGACAAAGTTGAAACTGAGTAAATGCTGGTTGAAAGGAAATGTACATTCTTGTCTATAGGCCTCTTCACAGCTTCTCCAGGTCCCAGTGACCATTAAGGACAGAGATCCCAACTTTTAGATCTTATCATTTCTCTAAGAGGGAATGGTTGACATATGAAAGCAGGGCCACTTTATTAGGCAAAAGAATTACTAAAAGAGCCTCTTAACTTGGAGTCACCATATCAGGATAAAGTTTCTAGGTGATAGGTATCTACAAAAGAGAATTAACAAGTTGCTTCAGGGACAAATGGAGGGGAAACAAGTCAATCTCCTGCACAGAGTGTGACCTAATATCACAGCTGTTACTCTGATGGTAATTCCTGCCTACTATTTATAAACTAAGACTCAACATAAAAGCACAAGATGACAAAATGTTCTAAACACATACAAAATAAAATGATCTAAAGGTCTAAAATGTGTCCAATAGGTAAAATTTAAGTTTATCTTTCTAAAGTATGCTAAAGTTACGCATGTGTGTACACACAAAGGTAAAAATGAAATAAAAGGAAGACATACAGAATTTCTGCATGAGGGAGCACCTTCTAGTTGCTAGATGGGATGCTGACCCTTTCATGAATTACCTAATAAAGTCAATTAGATCTTAAAAAAAAAGAATTTATAGAAAGAATCAAAGTGCTAAATTAAGATGCTATAAAAGAAAAATAATTTGAAAGACTAAAAATGTAAGGAGTGATAAAACATGCAACAAAAAGAATAAAATGTAAGGAGTAAAAGTCTAGGGACTAACTGATAAAAAGTTAAAAGCAAAAAAAACCCCCACACACAAAACCCGTAAGTATTAGTTAAAAGAGCAAGAATTATATAAAAAACACAGATAAACCAAGTAAAATAATATTAAAAAGTCGTTTCTAAAATTAGAAGAATCCGCTCCAGTGTCCATAGATAGATGAATGTATAAATAAAATGTGGTATAGACATATAATGGAATATTATTTAGCCATAAAAAGGAATAAAGTTCTGATATATGCTACAACATGAACCTTAAAAATATTATGCTAAGTGAAATAAACCAAACACAAAAGGGTAAATATTATGATTCTACTTACTATTATGAATTATCTAGAATAGGCAAATTCATAAAGACCAAGTAGATTAAAGGTTACCAGGGGCTCAAAAAAGGTAGGCTATTGCTTAATGGGTATATGTTTTTGGGTAATGAAAGGGTTTTGTTTGGAAATAGATAGTGGTGATGGCTGTACAACATTGTGAATGAAATTAATGTTATTAAAATTACACTTAAGAAGGGTTTAAATAACAAATTTTATATGATGCATATTTAACTACAATAAAAAATGAGGAAGTAAAAACAGAGTAAGAAGAAAAATCAGTGTGCAACAAAACAGTTAAAACCAGAAATTAATAAAATATTAGAAGTATAACAAGCATAAGGTAGGATAGGTATTTCAAAGCAGCAGCAGTATAAATAAATAACTCAATCTCAAACAAGTAGGATGAACATATAATTTACCATCCTAACCAGGACACTTTGAGAGGAAAGGAGACACTATTAATAATTACACAGGGACAGCAGGTGTAGACCGGGACCATCCCAGGCAAACCAGGATGTGTTACTCTACATATAAGGGCAGTTGGGTTCTCAAGGCAGACGTCATGAATGCAGCCTGGGGTCTGGCCAAAGCACAATAGTCTGAAAGCATCTTCCTAAAGGACCCAAGTGGTAAAAAATGCAAGTCTTTTTTTTTTTTTTACACAGAAGTAACACACAAGTACATGGCCTTTACTGAAGTTTACTAATTTGAAAACAATTACTATAATATTAGATTTTATTAAGAGCTATTACGATATTCTAAGAATTTGAGAAAACTGAATTATACTTTGAATTACACTGGTAGGCACACTAAGGAATTTCTAAGGTGAATCATTACATGAGTCTGTATTTTTATATACTAAATTAGAACTCTATAAATATATATATTCTTTTATACTTAATTTGACTATAGACAATTTGATTATAGACAATTATAGATATTAAAAAAATCAAACTAGAATTATCTTTAGGCTAAAATTAATCTTAATGACCTACAAATAGGTATACTTAAACAGTCCGTACCTTACATGAGAAGCTCCGACTTGGGATGTTTCTTGCTAACTCTGATATCTTGGGCTTACTCTGCAGACACTTGGTTAGGTGATATTTTTTCAATTTTATTCTACTGTAATAATGATCGGCGAAGTTACAGTGATTCAAGTGCTGTTTCTGCACGCATTTCCCAAGGTGAGGAATACTATACTTCAAAGCCTGGAGAAATAATTTGCTCTTCTGCTGCATGATATCAAAGTCCCTGGTTTATGCTCGCTTTGGGGCTGCCAGCACAAGTGATTTCATAGGTCTGATTACACAGTAGTGGGTTCTCAGAGTACCTACAATCCGCAGTTCTTATCCCCCCCTTCAGGGCCATGCACCCCTCGGGTAATGAATAACTGCAGACAGCTGAGAACCCGGGTTAAAAATATCTGAAAACGTGTATAAGTTAAAGTTTCATTCAAATCATACTTCTTGGCAGGTGTGACAAAAATGTTTCATTTGTAAAGTCAATCCTATCACGTTCAAACTATGCAGCACTGATTCTGGTACCCATAGGGGAAAACTAAAAAAACAAAACAAAACACAAAACACACACACACAACAAAACAAAATAAAAATTTGCAAATAAGTACATGGAGTTAATGGGGGCATCTCAGGGACTCTGAGGGTATTTAAAAGGCAAAATGACTTTGATTTTATATAAGGACCTGACAGAGTAGCTATTATGAGAATATCCTAATGAACATTTTACAGGTGAGCAAACCGTGGCTGCGGGAAGTTTAAGCAATTGCCCCAGGTGACTTGGAGAAAGTAGAACATAAAAGTCCAAAATGGTTTGGCTCCAAATCTTGTACACACAGGGGGACGATGGGACATAACGGTTGACTTTCCCATTAGAAAGGTATTTAGCTAAACAAATAAAATCCCTTCAGGATGCACAGATAAAATGTGAGAGCATCTCGGATTTGTTTGGGAAGTTGGTTCTTACTAACTTATCAAGGTAATTAAAACTAGTAAGTAGTTAATAGAGAGATCTGGGTTCAGGTCTTCCCTCCTGCACTTTCTACCTGTGCCTCCATTTCTTCTTCTTCTGCAAAACTGAGACAACGGCACGGTTTACCCTATGGAATGGATACGTTAAGCTCTTAATCCAGTGCCTGGCACGCCGTAACCACTCATCACACGGTGACTACTATTAGGACAGGGAAAATCTAGATGCTGCACAGCGCTGAGTGTCCTCCTGCAGTATCCCCACGGCCCTCGGTCATCGAAGGCACAATCCTGCGTCAGTTTTACTCCAGCTCCGATGCGCTCCTAGGCCAACGCCCCCGCCTCCCTCCATCTCTGTGTCGCAGCAAAAATAATGGGCGAATGAGAATAGGGGGATCAGTAGCAAAATAAGTAGAAATATGCAAATCACCGAAACCACTGGATCCACGCGGGCAGCCTCCATCCACCCGCCTTTCATCCGCAGGGAGAAGGCGCTATGCAAGGCTAGGGATGGGGGTGGGGCCGATGAATGGGTGCTCCCGGGAGAAACGGCGTTTTCCCGGTGCAACGCTCCATCCCAGGGGTGAGGCGATCTGAGTGCAGAGGGAGTGGCATACCGTGTGCCCGGCAGTGGAGGGACACGGCCAAGAAGCAAGGACCAAGGGGCTGAGGGGGGGCTGGGTGGGGGAAAAACGGGGAAAGGGGAGAGACCCCCAGCATGCGCTGCCCGTACCTGCGCCCACGGAAAGGCGCTCTGCCTCCGGACGCCGAGATGAGTGAGGGCCGGGTCGTCTCCTGGGCTCTCTCACCCGCAAAAAGACAAGCCTTTTGGTTCTTTGCTGGTATTCCGAGCTCGGGATGCGGCCGGGGAGAAGAACACACACAGGGGCCGCGGCGTACTAGCTCCGCCACAGCCCCCTCGCCCTCCGCTGCGCCCTCACTCAACGTGGCCACCGGCAAAATGGTGCAATGACAGGCCCGGCGCGGGCCTGGTTGTCATGGAGACGCGAAAACCGGAAATGCGGATCCGGAGGAGCTTTCGGGTCGTGGGAGGGAGGACCGGCGTCACAGGTCCTGGCAGGGAAGACGTCCGCAGGTCCTGGCAGGGGAGAGTCGTGCTGGCGGCAGCTCGTGGGTAGGTGGCACCGGCGGGATGGAGTCTCGAGTCCCAGA